TGCAGCACATTTTGGAGTGGGCACTAGTGCAGTAAAACAGGAGTCCGCAAACTTGTTCTGTAAAGGCCCAGATTGTAAGTATTTCTGTGGGCCATATGTTGTCTGTACCAACTGCTCACCTCTGCTGTTGTCATGGGGAAGTAGCTACAGATAGTACAAAACAAGTGTGTAGTGGTAGGCCCCAGAAACGTTATGGATACTGAAATTTGAATGTCGTCATTTTCATGTGTCATGAAATATATTTTTCTTCTCTTGATTGTTTCAACCATTGAGACATGTAAAAGCCACTCTTAGCTTGAGGGGTAAGAATCATAAAGTCAGATTGTGGGCCAGATTTGGCCTCTGAGCTGGGCCTTAATTTGCTGACTTCTGAAGTAACTTGCTATGTCCTCTCACTGCCCTGGGCTGGTACCTTCCAGGCAACGTGTCACTGCTTTAGTCCATTACTTAGGCTTTCCTTTTTAGGGCAAAGTCTATGTCTGTGTTTCTGTTTTCTGGATCTACTCTTGATTTGTTTATGCTGACTTCCATTTTTATTTATTTATTTATTTTTTTATTTATGTAGTCTTATCTTACCCATTATTATTTTTGAGTTCTAGGTATTGTATGTGAAAACTTGTGGTCATTTGAGGCCCTGGATAATGACCTCTTCTCTAGAGAGAATCTGTCAAGCTAGGGACACTAGTGACTCCAGGTTACTGTCAGCAGTGTGGAGCTGTGATGATTCAGAGCGGGGCTTCTGCCACTCTGCTTGCACTTTACCCGTGCTTCTGTGTCTGTGGCCCTTGGAGGTTCTGGTCAAGGTATGGCATGCTTACAGGCATCTCCCCTGTGAGGACCAGGGCTCCATCCTTCTCAGCAGCTCCACTGAGCTCTGCTTGGTCTCAGCTCTGCTTGCAGAATTGGCAGGTGCCTTGGGAGGCAGTCTTCAGCCCCTTGGGCTGTTCTTCTCTCCTGGGTCTTAGGTTTGCTTTTCCTTGCTGCCTGGATATTTTCAAACAGATATACTTTATGTTTCTTGGGACTTTTCCAGAGTTTGTTTCTTTCTAGAATTTGTTGTTTTTAAATGTTTTTTGGAATTGATAGGTTATATTGTGTTCAACAGCTGTTTAGAAGGTATTTTTCTGCAAGGCTAAGAAAAAAGCTAGATATCTTTATAGTCATCTGCAAATATTTGAACAGATCACATTTCAGAAATATTTTAAAGATAGGAAAAATAAATATCTAAACTATAAGTTAATCAAAGTGCCAGTTATTTCATTGGGCACATTCTATTTTGAATTATATTGCATAATCACACAGTTCTGAAGTGATCATGTCAATAGATACCTTAAAGAACCTCCTGCCCAATTTTGTTTGGTTTTCAAATATTGTAGCCCCTCCAGTGGCTCCCCCAGGCCTCCTTACTGCACCTGTTGGTTCATGTTGATGAGAAGAAAACAAGCTGGAGAGTTTGGCCTCTTCCCCCAAACTCTGATGACCTTGGTGATCTTGGTCAGGTAGTTGAACTGCTAAGTTTTAGTTACTGTCCCTCAAAACTGGCCCTGTTACTACCGCCTGCCTTGTTGGCTTCTTTTCAGGATGAAAATGCCTTTACCTGTTATATGTAAGAGCAAATTGGCAAAGGGTCCTCAGAATGAATAATACTAATTAGAGGTGTCTGAATTCTTTATGAAAAAAGTTAAAATTTAAAAACTGTATTGTTACCCATTGGGAACGTTTTTGTAAATTAGCTACTGATAAGGTCAGGATATTTCTTTTTAAATTTATGTTTGGTTGTGCTGGATCTTCGTCGCTGCTCGGACTTTTCTCTAGTTGTGGCAAGTGGGATCTGCTCTCTAGTTGGGGTGTGTGGGCATCTCATTGTGGTGGCTTCTCTTGTTTCGGGGCACAGGCTGTCGATACACTCAGGAGCTGCTGCTTCTGGGCTCGAGAGCACAGGCTCAGCAGGTGTGGTGCACGGGCTTGGTTGCTCCGCATGATGTCAGGTCTTCCTGGGTCAGGGATTAAACCCATGTCTCCCGTATGAGGATTCTTTACCACTGAGCCAGCAAGGAAGCCCGGAAACAAGCTATTTATAGAGTGTTGTACAAATACCCTTAAACTGACAAATTTAAGTGAGTTGTATTGCTTGTGGATGCTGTTTTTCCAGTGCCATGGTTGTTTCCCAGTTCCTTTCTCCTTGGGATCCTGTGCTTTCCTCCCAGTGCCTTCGAATGCTCTCCCAGGGGCTTCGTCTCTGCCTTCCACAGTCTAGCCGTTTCAAGCCCTCCTCCGGGGAAGCTTGCTTTGTTGCCTTAGCAGTGTGCCCCTTCCTTGAATCCTTTCAGGTGCCTGAATCACTGTGGTTTGCACGGTGGTTACTCACGTTCATGTCCCCGGCTCCTAGGACGCTTTAACAGCGGTGTCCCTCCAGACACCCAGTGTCTGCCTTCCACACAGCTTCTGCCCTACCCCCATCCTTGCCAGCACTACTAAAGTGATGAGAGAAAGAAAAGACGATATGATGATTCTTGTCTTCCTGTAAACTGGGCTCCTCGGCCTGTTCTGTAGTAACTGTATCACCCCAGCCACCCTTGGCTAGTCCTCGTGGGCAGTCAGGGCTGAGGACCCTCCCTCCTTGGGTGTGGGCATCTTCTCCAGGTCTGCAGCCCATTTGCTGATGACTTCCAGGTTTGAATCTCTAGCTCTGAACACTCTGCTAAGATTGAATTTGTGTTTGCAGTATATGTGTGTGTATGTGTGTGTGTGTGTGTATGTGTGTACGCATACATGTGTGCACGGGGAGAGGCTCTCCATGTTTATGTTCAGTAGCTGGTGCAGATCTCAGTGGTCAAAGCTGAGCTAATTCTCTCATCTTGATTCTGTTCTCTACCTTGGTTTTCACCTCTGATCTGTCCCGTTTGATCTGCAGTGTCTTAAATGCTCTTTTTGTCTTGACTTGGGCTCCCACGCTGTTGCTCTGTCTCTGCTTTCTTCCTCTGTCCTCGCCCACTGACACTGAGTTCTGACTGGATGTGTGGTGATTTACTTACCAGAGCCCCGAAGGTGGCATGTGACTGCCCGAGCGCAGCACGCCTGGGCTGCTGAGACTGGCCTTTGTCTGGTTCCCAGCCTGTGTGGCCACGTGGGCTGGCCTGAGCCCAGGGACAGGTCTTGGGTCCCTCCTCTTCCCCAGCTCAGCAGACGAGCCAGACCTTTCCATCCTGTTAGAACAGCAGGAGCCCTGAATGTCTGTGGCTCACGTTTTAGGAAGTATTTACTTCTCCCTCTGCCAGTTAATACTTTTGCCAACAGTCATGTGTTTTGGTCTTAAGTATGTTTATGGCAGTTGTCTCATGAACAAATATGAGTGCTGAGAGAAAGTTGTTGCTTCTCTGAGAACCGAGTCCCTCTCCAAATTGGTTTTCTGTTGCTCTGTAACAGGTCACTGACCAGAAAATGTAACAGCTCCCTGCACTCTCTCCTTTTCTCTGTGAGTCAGGAGCCTGGCCATGGCTTAGCTGGGTCTTCTGCTTCAGGACTCACAGGCTGCAGTCAGGGTGCTGACCAGTTTGCATTCTCATCTCGGGTTTTACTGGCGTCCTTGTTGGCAGAATTCAGGTTTTGGTACTGTGGGACTGAGCTGTGGGCTCCTAGGAGACACCCCTCTCCACAGGCAGCTCGTGGCAGTGGCTGTGGAGAGCATCTCTTTTGGACGGTCCCATCCTCTTAAGGGCTTTTACCTCACATGACCCTCGGAGAATCTTCCTTTTGATTGACTAGAAATCAGCTGATGTGAGACCTTACTTATATATGAGAAATTCTTTCACCTTTGCCACAGAAGGAAACAAAACCTACTCCAGGTGTGGTGTCCTGTCCTATATTCAGAGGTCCTGCCCAAACTCAGAGAGAGGATTACACAGGATGTGTGTGTGCCAGGGGGTAAGACTCTTTAAGCCATCTTAGATTTGCCTACTACACATTGCTTGGGTAAAACTGAGATGCTTAAAAAAATTACTTGTACAGTTTAGGAAGAAGAGAATTGATAAGGCTTGGGGGAGATGTCTTGAAAATCTAGAAGAATTGTGTACTAAGATTGCTCAGAAAGTGCCCTTCAGTTTTTGGTGAGTCTGGAAATAGTGAATGCTTCATGAGAGTGGTGTACGCGGGATTGATGACAAGAAATGAGCTAGTTGACTTGTGAGCAAAGAAAAGGCCCTGGCCTTCCATTGAAAGATGGGCAAACAGATGTGTTTGTTTTAGTGTAAAGTGTCTTGTCTGTCTTGAGAGGAGGGTTTCTGCTGTACCTGCAGTTTTCAGAATGGATGCTTTCTCTTGGTGTTCACTGTGCCCCGACCCTCGGGCCATGACTGCTTACTCTGGGAGACCTTTTCTGACTCCCAAATGTGGACAGCCAAGAGCACTTTTCGTGAGGATGTTATTTTGTCTTTGAATATCAGTATGGACTCGTGTTTTTATTTACTATTTAAGTCTAAAATAGTTGTTATATATTTTGCTGTTCAAAATTATTCTTAATTTGGCCACTGGAGGAGTTCCTATCAGGCTTTAAGCAGCTTTTTTGGTGCAAACCTAAATATTACACCCTTACTATCAAAGTTGTATTTGGATTAACCTCCAGGTTATTCAAGGGTGAAGTGTAGTTTTCGTAATAACAGGTTAACTTGCATTTAAGGTAAACTCAAAATCTTGCTTTCACTCATCTCTCCTGCCTTCTACCCATGTTCCCCTTCCTATATGTGATCATATTATTTGTGACTGGCTTATCTTTCCAGAGCATGTGCCCACATGTGTCTTTTATCTTGTATCTTAAACAAAACTTAGTATGTAAGATATTATGCATGGTACCTTGTTCACTTAACTGTGTACCTTGGGACAGTTTTCATTAAATGCTGAATGACTGAATAGTAAGTGGGAATGAGATTTTTTTTTTACATTATTCTTTAAGAATTGCATTGTGAGTGTGATCACTGTGAATTTATTTTATTTATCATTACCAGCTTGCATTCACAAGAGATGGACTTTGTGGTCTGTGGAATGAAATGGTTAAAGATGGAGAAATTGTATATACTGGGACAGAACTATCACAGAATGGAGAACTTCCTCCTAGAAAAGGTAAGGGCCTTTAACTAATATTTTTCATTTTTTGAAGACCTTTATAAATTGCATTCTGTAGAAATTTTGTAATGTGCTCTATGGACATGAGTGTGCCTGAGTATAACTCTGAAGTTTTGTTTTCACTTTGGAAATGCCTAAATGATAATTAATATTAGGTGCTTTCTGAATTTCGTTGTTCTACCCAAATTGAAGGCCTTTTAATTGCAGAGCCACCTGCTGTGGTGTCCTTCCTCTGATGTCTCATTTGCAGCTTCTGGGAACTCCACTTATTGTTTTTTTCTCTAAGTTTTGAAATATACCTTGCTTTGGCTAACTATAAATTGTGGTTTTTATGAGGTTGAGTGGAAATAGTATTCTGAAATTTTTCCAGCATGACTATCCTATGCGTGTGTGTGTGCATGCATGTGTGCTCAGTCGTGTCTGACTCTTTGCGACTCCATGGACTGTAGCCTGGGAGTCTCCTCTGTCCATGGGATTTTCCAGGCAAGAAGACTGGAGTGGAGACCATTGTTTTCTCCAGTGGGTCTTCCTGACCCAGGGATTGAACCCTGTCTCTTGGTTTCATGCATTGCCAGGCAGTCGTCTCCACTGCACTGCCTGGGAAACCCCTGTGACTTTCCTGTGGGAGTGCATAAAACACTTTTTGGAAGCCTTTGGCCTATGGACTTTTATTGTATTTGTGCAGGGAAATGTCAGTGAACACTCTTGTTGGGCATAGGGTTATGAAAATGCAGTGAGGTCAGTTGTTCTTGACTTTGGCTGTGAATCAGAATCACTCTTTAGGCGTTAAAAAGAAATGGATGCTTGTACCCACCCCAAAGCTATAGAACCTGAACTACCCTACTTGAGACCCACTGCTGAAGTTTATTAGTCCTGCTATTTGAAAAATCATCAGGATGGATAAAATAATTTTAGAAAGTAGTGGTACTTCCCTGGCTGTCCAGTGGATAGGGCTTCACTTTCTGATGCAGGGGGTGTGGGGTCAGCCCCTGGTTGGAGAGCTGCTTGCCTGCAGCCAAAACCAAAACATAAAACGGAAGCAATGTTGTAACAAATTAAAGAAAGGCTTTAAACATGGTCCACATTAAAAAGGGAAAAAAGAAAGTAGTTACTTTTCATAGAATGAATTAGAATAGTGTCCACTTGAAAATACATTGGAAAAACAATATATCTTTTCAGTTACAGTGTCTAGCAGAGTGAGCTTATTTTTTTCCTGATATTTTATTGTGAAAACTTCCATGCACCCACAACAACTGACAACGTCTGTACGGTGAGCAGCTGCACACTCATCCCCTGGACCATACTAATCTATCCTCTGTCTACTGGTGCATCTTACCTTACTCCCTTAGACACTTCATGCATATTATTAACAAGATTGGCTTCAGTGTAGCTTTTTGTTTTTAGGGTAAAACTTACCCATAATAAAATACATGTTTTGAGTTTCCCATCCCATAAGTTTCAACAGACATAATCTGCGTGACCTAAACACCCACTGATGCTCCCACTTTGAAGGTTCACACATGCCCCTTGCTGGCTCCGTCCTGCCCTCTCTACTCACAGGCAACCACTGATCTGATCTTTCTCTGTCATGGATTGGGTTTGCCTGTTCTAGACTTTCATGTAAGTAGTATCATGTAATGATGTTACATACTTGTTTCAGTTTGTAATGATTTATTAGTTTTAGTAGTTTGTTCTGTATACTTTTAAAGTTTTTGTGTCTTTTCGTCCTATCCTTCCAGTATTAATGCATTAAAACATACTTCTTAAAATGTTTTTTTGTGAAACATTATTTCTAAAAGATACTCTGAGAAAAACTAACTACATGGGAAAATTCAAAGTCTGTTTCTTATTCATTACATTTGATGACTATTGTTCTTTGTTTTTTAAAAAATAGGTGTTTAGAAAGCAAAGTATAGGACCTCCCTGATAGATGAGTAGTAAAGAATCCTTCTGCCAATGTAGGAGACATGGGTTTGATCCCTTGTCTGAGAAGATCCCGTATGCCACAGAGCAACTAAACCTGTGCACCAAAACTAGATTCTGGGAGCTGCAGCTGCTGAAGCTTGCATGCCCTAGAGCCTAGTCTCCACAGTAAGAGAAGCTGCTGAGATGAGAAGCCCTCCCACTGTAACGAGAGAGTAGTGCCCACTTGCCGCATCCAGAGAAAGCCCGTGGACAGCAACAAGGACCCAGAACGGCCAAAAGCAAATACATGTAAAAAAAAGAAAGCAAAGTGTAAAATTGTTCTTTATGTAGGTCCCAAATGGATAGTTTTTTCTTGACATTCAATAAAAGTTATTGTTTTCAATGAGACGTGATATATGCTTTTGTTATGACAAAATACTTTTTTTAATAGCTAGATTTATATACCTAATTTCATTTTTAAGACCATGGTCTTACTTTTTTTTTTTTGGTGCATTATATAGCAGCTTGCGGGACCTTAGCTCTCCAACCAGGTTTCAAACCAAGACCCCTGGCAGGCAAACTGCAGAGTCCTAATCCCTGGACTTTCAGGGAATTCCCAAGACTGTGTACATTATTTTGTTGTTGTTCAGTCAGTAAGACCTGTCTGACTCTTTGCAACCCCATGGACTGTAGCATATCAGGTTTCCCTGCACTTTATCTGTCTCCCAGAGTTTGCTCTGATTCATGTCTATTGAGTTAGTGATGCTGTCTTAACCATCTCATCTTCTGCTGCCCTCTTCCTTTTGCATTCAATCTTTCCTAGCATCAGGGCCTTTTCCAATGAGTCGGCTCTGCATCAGGTGGCCAAAGTTTTGAAGCTTAAGCATCAGTCTTTCCAGTGAATATTCAGGATTGACATCCTATAGGATTGACTGGTTGGATCTCCTTGTTGTCCAAGGGAATCTCCAGAGTCTTCTCCAGAACCACAGTTCGAAAGCATCCATTCTTTGGTGCTCAGCCTTCTTGATGGACCAACTCTCACATCCATACATGACTACTGGAAAAACCATATCTTTGACTTTACAGAACTTAGTTGGCCAAGTGATATCTCTGCTTTTTAATATGTTATCTAGCTCTGACATTGCTTTCCTTCTAGGGAACAAACATCTTTTAATTTCATGGCTGCAGTCACCATTCATAGTGATTTTGGAGCCCAGGAAAATAAAATCTGTCAGTGCTTCCACCCTTTCCCCTTCTGTTGGCTATGAAGTTACAGAACTGGATGCTGATCTTAGTTTTTTGAATGTTGAGTTTCAAGCTAGCCTTTTCACTTTGCTCTTTCACTTTTATCAACAGGCTCTTCAGTTCCTCTTCACTTTCTTCAGTTAGAGTGGTATCATTTGCATAGCTGAGATTGTAGATATTTCTCCCAGCAATCTTAATTCCATTCTGTGATTCATCCAGCCCAGCGTTTTGCATGATGTGCTCTGCATAGAAGTTAAATAAACAGGGTGACAGTATACAGCCTTGTTTTACTCTTTTCCCAATTTTGAACCAGTCCATTGTTCCTTGTCCAGTTCTGTTTTTCACCCACATACAGGTTTCTCAGGATCCAGGTAATGTGGTCTGATATTCCCCCTTCATGGATCATAACCCTTTCACGGTGAAGGGACTTGCATAACTCAGTGAAGCTGTAAGCCACGTGGTTCAGGGCCACCCGAGACAGGTAGGTCATAATGAAGAATTCTGATGAAACATGGTCCACCGAAGCAGGGAATGGCTAACCACTCCAGTATTTTTGCCGTAAGAACCCCATGAACAGTACGAAAAGGCAAAAAGATATGACACTGGAAGCTGAGCCCCCAGGTTGGAAGGTGTCCAGTATGCTACTGGGCAAGGGCGGAGGGCAATTACTAATAGCTCTACAAAGAATGAAGCAGCTGGACCGAAGCTGAAATGACTCTCATTTCAACTGTGGATGTATCTGGTGGTGAAAGTAAAGTCTAGTGCTGTAAAGAACAATATTGCGTTGTAACCTGGAATGTTAGATCTGTGAATCAGGGTAAATTGGAGGTGCTTAAGCAGATGACGGCTTCCCTGGTGGCTCAGAGGTTAAAGCGTCTGCCTGCAATGAGGGAGACCTGGGTTCGATCCTGGGTCAAGAATGGACATTGACATCTTAGCAGTCAGTGAGCTAAAATGAACGGGAATGGGTGAATTTAATTTAGATGACCATTATATCTACTGTTGTGGGCAAGAATCCCTTAGAAGAAGTGGAGTAGCCCTCATAGTCAACAAAGGAGTCTGAAATGCAGTATTTGGATGCAGTCTCAAAAATGACAGAATGATCTTGGTTTGTTTTCCAAGGCAAACCATTCAACATCACAGTAAACTGAAGTCTTATGTCCCAACCATTGATGCCAAAGAAACTGAAGTTGACCGGTACTTTGAAGACCTACAAGACTTTCTATAACTAACATCAAAAAAAGATTCCTTCTTTTGTCCTTTTCACATAGAGGATTGGAATGCAAAAGCAGGAAGTCAAGGGATACCCAGAATAACAGGCAGGTTTGGCCTTGGAATAGAAAATGAATCAGGGCAAGCACTAACACACTGGTCACAGTAAACACCCTTTTTCAATGACCCAAGAGATGACTCTACACAGACATCACCAGAGGTCAATACCAAAATCAGATTGATTATGTCTTATGCAGGCAAAGATGGAGAATTTCTATGCAGTCCACAAAAAAAAGACCTGGAGCTGACTGTGGCTCAGATCATGAGCTCCTTATTGCAAATTCAGGCTTAAATTGAAGAACATAGGGAAAACCACTAGGCTAGTCAGTTAATGACCTAAATCAAATCCCTTATGATTATACAGTGGAGGTGACAAGTTGATTTAAGGAATTAGATCTGGTAGACATAGTGCCTGAAGAACGATGGCCAGAGGTTCGTAATATTGTACAGGAGGCAGTGATCAAAACTATCCCAGAGAAAAAGAAATACACGATGGCAAAATGGTTGTTTAAGGAGGCTGAGGACTTGGAAGAGGTATACTGAACTGAGTGCTTAGTTCCAGAGAATGGCAGTGA